TTTTTTCTAATTGTCATTCCGCGATCCATCGTTCTTCCATCTAGCCACGGAACGATCGCCGTCGCCAGACAAGCGAGAATCCACGCTATTACATTTTCCAGTGTATTCGCGCGAAACATTTTCGCCGGTGTCGCGCGAACGCCGCATTAAACAAATTCGTGGAAATTCTCTGGCGCGCTCGTCGGCTGGCGTTCGGCGTCGCCCTTCAAAGGGCCCGCGTACGTTTCCCTTTGAATATCAAGCCGCGCATGAATGTTGCATGTGTTCCGGAGACATCTCGAAGCCAGCAAACGACGCGTGTTTTCTTCCCGTTGCTCGTCTACGAGATGCTCCCCGACCTCGAAACAGCTGACGACGACGACGAAGGAAAAACGTAGCCTCGGCTGGAGCCGGCTCGGAGGGGGGAGGACGGGATGGCGGCTGAAGCGAGGAAAAATGAGAGGGTGGTCTATCGGATTAGCGTGGAAAGTTTGATAATTACGCGGTAAGCGGCGCCGGGCCGAACGAGGAAGTCGCTCTCGCTGGGGTCAGAGTGCTGTCGCGGTGGCGAGAGCGACTTGTCACCGGCGAAACGGGCTTTCTCTGTCGTCAGAAAGAGAGAGAGAGTAGCGTAGATAACGTGGGAGTGAAAGGGAGGGAGCGGGAAAGGACGAGCAGAAAAGTAAGTCGACGAGAAAGGAGGACAGGCAGCCGGGAAGACATAATTAGCAAGTTGAACAGCCGGTTCTCGAACCTCGTTACCGTCGCCGTCGCTTCCGGTTCGAATGTCGTCGAGACCGGGTCACGTACGAAGAAGCCAGCCTCCGTCATAGTGATCGTGGCTCGAAGCGTCGCTGTCTAGGTGACGCGGAGTTAGCCGAGCGTCGCCGACGCCGGTAAATAAATATTGACGAAACTCAGGTTCGCGACCCTCTTCGTCGTCGGAAGTGTGTTCGACGTTGCGGATGACGGTGTCGATGACGAGTAGGCGACGGTACCCGGGCCCAGTTCGGGGACACGATGACTCGGCGGGGAATCGCGATGACTGGCATCGCTGATTCGAGAAGCGAGGAACGGATGATCGAGAAAATCCGGGACCAGGCATTCGGGTGGAGTCGATTGGAAAATCATTTTGATCCAAGTGTGGGGAGACATACGGCTTTTCAAATGTAAACAAATTTGGTAGTGCAAGAATGATTGTATAACGTGATATGACAATATTTAAGCAGTCAGATGTGTTTGACGAGTATACTCGTCGTGGAGAAGTGGCGATATTTTGTGTCACAACGAGTGTATTAGTCGTGGAGAAGTGACAGTATTTTGTGTCACGACGAGTATACTCGTCGTGACACAAAATATCGCCACTTCTCCACGACGAGCATACTCGTCGTGACACAAAATATCGCCACTTCTCCACGACGAGCATACTCGTCGTGACACAAAATATCGCCACTTCTCCACGACGAGCATACTCGTCGTGACACAAAATATCGCCACTTCTCCACGACGAGCATACTCGTCGTGACACAAAATATCGCCACTTCTCCACGACGAGCATACTCGTCGTGACACAAAATATCGCCACTTCTCCACGACGAGCATACTCGTCGTGACACAAAATATCGCCACTTCTCCACGACGAGCATACTCGTCGTGACACAAAATATCGCCACTTCTCCACGACGAGCATACTCGTCGTGACACAAAATATCGCCACTTCTCCACGACGAGCATACTCGTCGTGACACAAAATATCGCCACTTCTCCACGACGAGCATACTCGTCGTGACACAAAATATCGCCACTTCTCCACGACGAGCATACTCGTCGTGACACAAAATATCGCCACTTCTCCACGACGAGCATACTCGTCGTGACACAAAATATCGCCACTTCTCCACGACGAGCATACTCGTCGTGACACAAAATATCGCCACTTCTCCACGACGAGCATACTCGTCGTGACACAAAATATCGCCACTTCTCCACGACGAGCATACTCGTCGTGACACAAAATATCGCCACTTCTCCACGACGAGCATACTCGTCGTGACACAAAATATCGCCACTTCTCCACGACGAGCATACTCGTCGTGACACAAAATATCGCCACTTCTCCACGACGAGCATACTCGTCGTGACACAAAATATCGCCACTTCTCCACGACGAGCATACTCGTCGTGACACAAAATATCGCCACTTCTCCACGACGAGCATACTCGTCGTGACACAAAATATCGCCACTTCTCCACGACGAGCATACTCGTCGTGACACAAAATATCGCCACTTCTCCACGACGAGCATACTCGTCGTGACACAAAATATCGCCACTTCTCCACGACGAGCATACTCGTCGTGACACAAAATATCGCCACTTCTCCACGACGAGCATACTCGTCGTGACACAAAATATCGCCACTTCTCCACGACGAGCATACTCGTCGTGACACAAAATATCGCCACTTCTCCACGACGAATATACTCTGTCTCTTATACACATCTAGATGTGTATAAGAGACAGAGTATATTCGTCGTGGAGAAGAGGCGGTATTTTGTGTCATGACGAGTATATTCGTCGTGGAGAAGAGGCGGTATTTTGTGTCACGACGAGTATACTCGTCGTGGAGAACTGGCAGTATCTTGTTTCACGACGAGTGTACTTGTCATGGAGGAGTAGCAGTATTTTGTGTCATGACGAATATACTCGTCATACGTAGAAAGTAGTGACCATTGGTTATTTAAATTGCAATTTTACTGAAAACGAAGACATATTCTTAAATTTTAAGGTGTTCCGAATATTTTGAAGGCAGGCCAGAATAAAATGAACAAGTAAAAAATATAAATAATTATATAAACGATTCACGATATTGTCGTTCGACCTGCGGAGTGTCATTACGTATCGCTCTTTGCTTTGCTGAATACAAATTGCTATAAAAGCAATTCGAATTTTTAACATTTATAACTATCTGATTTTTCCGTTTTTCGTTTATTTTCGTTTGTTATGTATGTACTATATGTTAATGTCAAGTGAACAAATAAGTATTATAGTAATAAAATTGTCAATTTTATAAAACAAAACCGTCTCTTTGATCCAATATTTTAGCAGCGACGCTTGCTCCGTGTCCGACGAGTATACTCGTCAGCTCCGAGAAGCAGGGCGCCACAGCTAACTGGTTAACGGCGCCTCCGCGTCACCGCTCGAGCGCAAAGGGTTGAAATATCCGCACGAAGAATACCGCGAAAGGATTGGACACGCCAGCGAGTTTTCGAAGTATCGAAGAATTCTCATTTTTATGAAAATGTTCCGCCGACAGAACGGGACCGAACGGCGCAGTAAAAATTCCCGAACAGCCGAAGAATGGCCCAGTTTTCGCGATATTGTATATCAAGCCGCGATCTCTGAAGTAACCCGAATCCTTCGTATAACCAAGATCTCTTATCCCGAGTCGCGCCGAGGCCGATCGGACCGTGTCGGTTTTCCGATCGGTGCGGTCGAATTGATTTCGATTCGGATCGGCTCGTAAAGTCGCGTTTGAAACCGATAAAGCGGCGACCGCGTTCTCGGTTGCGGCGATTGGTCGATCGAAGATCAGGGTTGCGTGTACGTGAATCACCTGGCATCGGTGATGGTGGAGCGGCTGTAGGTGTGGCGGGTGTGGGCGGTTCGGATAATGGAGGCTCCCGGCAACGGGATGGTCTAGATAAACCTATCGCCTTCGAGTGAAAATAACTACCGGTGATCCGGATAGCGACCGCCACGTGGGAAAATTAGCGAACGCTTGCACGAATCTCGGCGAACAAAATTCGCGGTTTTGTCAACCGTTAACCGGACTGCCAATTACTGCCAGTTATTGTTTCGGTAAATATTGCATACTTCCGAATTAATCGCTGCAAGTAAATCCACGCTGCAACGTTGCAAGCTTGATCAGTTAATTACATTAATGCAGATCAATACAGTTAGTTGCAGATTAATTTACACGAATTTTTAAGTAATTACACTTACTACGTATAGTAACGATGACTTGTTTAAAGATGATTCGTGGTAAGTTTAAAGTTGCGCCATAATCCAGTTAAGGATTAAAATATTTTAATGAAATTTTGATGAAAAGAACTTGCTACGTACGTGCTACGATACGTTGCGAAAAAGAGATTTCCTGAATATGTACGAACTTATTAACTTCCTTGAGAGAAATAATTACTGTAATACCGACGATAACGATGCATAAAATTATTGGGTCATAGCACACAAATGTATGAATGCACCAATAAAGTTTCATAAAAGTACATCCGCCGGTGTCCTGGTAAAAAATTCTCAAATCTTGCCCTGCGAGTAAATCGAAGAAGTAGAAAGTCCACCCTAAAACCTATCAACGTCTGCTGCAGATAATTCCTATAATTTAATTGACAAAAATATACAACAAAAATTGTAGAAAATAAAAAAGAATGCAATGTATAAAAATACTCCATTCAATCTCAATAAAAAAATTCTCGAAGCTCGTCCTGTGATAAAATCAACGATGGTACAATGCATCCGCAGTTTTCTCAGTTTCACTGTTAAAAAATGGCAGTCGGTTTCCAAGCTGTACCAAAGATTAGGGTAGTAATAATTACTTAATTACCGACGACAAAGATGTATAAAATTATTGGGCCATAGCACACAAATGTATGAATACATCAATAATCAATGCATCAATATCCTGGTAAAAAATTCTCAAATCGTGCCCTTCGAGTAAATCGAAGAAACAGAAATTCCACCCTAAATCCTATCAACGTCTGTTGCAGATAATTCCTATAATTTAATTGACAGAAAAATACAAAAAAATTGTAGAAAATAAGAAAGAATGCAATGTATTAAAATACTCCATTCAATCTCAATAAAAAAGTTCTCGAAGCTCGTCCCGTGATAAAATCGACGACGGTACAACGTATCCGCAGTTTTCTCTGTTACCCTGTTAAAAAATGGCAGTCGGTTTCCAAGCTGTATCAAAGAATAGGGCAGAGTGTGCCGGAATCGCTTACCTTGGTGAAGGTGAGGGTGGCGATGGGCGGCAGCCGCGGCAGGTTCGGATAGTAGAAGCTTCCAGCAGGATGCGCCGGGTACCGCGAGGTGATCCTGTAGGCGATTCCTTGGGGCTGGGTCGGCCAGTTGGCAGCCGTGAATGTGAACCCGTTATCCGTGCCTCCATCCAGCGGGTCCAGCTGCCGGAAGAAAGGAAAAAAAAGCCCGTCGGATTGCGCACACTGGTTGCTTGAATGGCCGGTGGATTTTAATGAGATGGGGTCGCGGGCGGCCGGCCGGGGGGTGGGAAAAAGCCGTATTTGCCTCGGACCTATTCCCCGTAAATGGGACGCGACCTACATACGTCTCCGATCGACAGTTTTCAAACGCGTTCACCTTTTTTCCTTTCCTCCATCACCCCTGATCTCTCCCCGCCAGCCCTCTCTCCCATCGCTCTCTTTCTCCATAGCGTCCCTTTCGCAGCCGAAATTACCTAGCCCGCTGCTTTAACGAACGGCGGATTCCCATTTTCCGATGGCAAAAAAATTGTTCGCAGCTCCTCCTAAAAAAAACCCCGGCCTTTCTGAATATATACCCCTGCCGCTGCGCCGAAACGAGCGGGCCCGTCACGGCTGGATTAAAACATCGATCCGCTTGGCCACTTTCTACCGGCGACTCGATGACTTTCGTCCGCGATGCGATTTACTATCGCCGATGATCTCGCTCCCGTCGCCGTCATTTTTTCCGTAAAATTATCGGTCAACCGTACTACCTCCGTATTCCCGATGCACCTTTTCCGATGCGATTTATCGGGCAATTAGCTCGATGAATAGAGCGCCCCGATCAAGACAGTGAAACGAATTTTTTTCCCCGGTCTATTTCAGCGGCCGTGGCTGATGCGCGATGGGAAATCGTGCCGCGTTAATGCAATCCGTATCCCGCGGATTTTTTAAGCCGGCTCGGCGCGTTCGAACGCGCTCGTGTTTCGTGGTCGGATTCGAATTGGCTATTCCGAAATGCTTTATACGATTGATTTTCCATTCGCTTTTTACCAACGACCGGACCGCCAAAGCGATTTCTAAACGACGACAGTGACGGTTCGGTTTATTTAAAATCTTTGAATAATTTACGTTCGCGCATGTTAAATAATTTTTGGTTCAACCCCTTGCCATACTTCGACGAGTTTGACGCAGTGGAGATTTTTGATAATAATCGGTCAAGCATGAAAATGCTGTTCCGTTCTTTTTTGTTTAAATGAAATTCTGATTCCTTGGCATCGGTATTTAAATATTTAAGTAAATGTAGATGC